ACTTCAGGCTGTAATTGACTGCAAAGGATTTGCAACCAAGTATTAAAAAGTGAAAGTTTGAATTATGATTATTATTCTGTCCCATTACTTTTGGTCCCTTAATAAGTGGGAGGCACATATGCAAACTGTTGTAATTCCTACGCCGTTCACCTGATTTGGATGTAAATGCCCTCAAATTAAAGCTGACAGTCTGCAGTTAAAGCACATCTTGTTCGTTTTATTTCAAATCCATTGTGGTGGTGTATAGAGCCAAAAATGTTAGAATTGTGTCGATGTCCCAATATTTATGGACCTGACTGTACATATTACAGAAAGAGCAAAACCAATATTGTCTGATGGATTGTTTATAAATGATTACCTTCTCAGCATTCTAAAGAATGCACAATTCAATTGGTACAGAAAGAACTAGAGGACCCCAGAAAGGCCAGTCATCAGGAAGCACAATTCTTCATTTCATCCTCCATCACAGGCCACAGCAGAGTTTTAGGCTCTGTTCACACCTATGCAGTTTGCCTTTTTGTCTTTTGTTGCAGTTCGTTTTGCGTTTTTACCATGTTTTGTTCAGCTTTTTTTTTTTTTTTTTTTTTTTTTTAAGTGGAATTTGTTTTTTTTTGCTGGGCAGAATAAAAATACAAAACGCAACAAAAACACACTACCATGCATTTCAGCAGATTCTCCATTGAAATCTATTGTACCATTTTGCTTTTAAAAAAGTCCCTGACCCTTTTAAAGAATGCAGCAGCTCAAAAGAGCTTAGATGTGAACATGTTCCATAGGAAACCATGTTAAATGGACTAATAATGGAAAATAGACCTGGAAACTTGTAGGAGACCAACTACAGGGGGATTGGTACCAGCCAGGATTGTAAAGGATCCAGGGTAATCCTGAAGGCTTTTTGGCCCCTTGGGGTCACCGGAAGGAGGTGAGGAGGCATTGTAGCCACAGTGGAAGAAGTGTGCTGACACGGTCACAGATTTTACAACACCATTTGCACGTTGCATGAGCATATTCAGCACCTATTTTTAATATGGACTATCACTATTTAGTGTGTTCATATGTGTTTTCTAGTGTGGTCACATTTGGCACATATCACCGATTTGTTTTTTATCCCTTTTCCGTAAGGGTCTTTTTTATTGTTTTTTAGTTGTGGATATCACGTTTTGAGGTCACCTAGGTGACCGTGGCACATTGTTTTTGGCACTGCATTATGTATGTACACATATTTATTTATTTGAATTATTGGGAGAAGCACTGCACTATTTTCCATTATTTCTATACACTGTTTGGGTATCAGTTTAGAGTGTTGGCAGCTTTACATTAGGGCAAACTTCCTTTCTAAGCACAGGAGGGCTTTGCTGTATGTTAAATGGACTGTAGTGCGTTTCTGCAAAAAGCATTAAAAACGCATTGGTGTGAACGGAGCCTTAGGCCTCATGTACACTGGATGCTTTTTCAGCTGCTCCTAGGGGTACCCGGCAGGTTTTTATTTTCTGCCTCTAAACGCCCCTGCATGTTAGCCTATGTGTCCATGCACACAAACATTTAGAGGAGTTTAAACACTTCCAGTCCGGACACTTTTCAGCTTTCAGCGCTGTCACACTTTGAATGACAATTGAGCGGTCATGCAACACTGTACCCATATGAATTTTTTTTAGCTCTTTTTGGAGACAGATAAAACTTTATTTTGGTGGTATTTATTCACTACTGGGATTTTAATTTTTTTTGCTATATAAATGAAAAAGTCCAAAAATTTTGAAAAAAAGTGTTTTTCTTAAAATATTTTGCAAATAAGCTTTCTTCATAAATCTTGGCCAAAATTTATTCAGTTATCTTTTTAGTAAAAAAAAAAAAACTCAAATTAGTTTATAACCAAAAATTATCATTTTTCAAAACATTTTTGGTTTTATTTTTTATATTATTATTATTTTGTTTTTTTTTTTTTTTTTTTGTTTTTTTAACATACAGTCACTCAAGCAGTACAGTGTCACCATAGTGACACTGTACTACTTGTGGGGGGTGATGAAGATTTTTTTTTTTTTTTTTTTACACCCATAAAGGCTGTAATCATTTCTCCTTCTCTCTGGCTGCATTCTTGTAGCCATTGAAAAATACTGTGTGAGCTGTGATTGGTCACAGCTTGTCACATGGTACAAGGCTGTTGTGAATAGCCTTGTACCATGTGACCTCTGTGATCATTCATAGACTTCACAAGTAGTAAGCAATGATGTCAGAAGTGATATCTTGCTTATTACCGGTACTATCCATGTGATCACTGATTGGCCAACCAGTGATCACATGATCGGGACCTCACACAGAGGTCCTGTACAACAATCGGTGTCCGGACACAGTGGGCGCCGGATCGCGGTGTTGCGCGCTCCCAGGGAGCGCCGCACAGTCCAAAATGGCGGCGGCTGTTTATAAACGGCATGCTGCCCCTGCACTGCCACTGTCCGGCCGTTTATATACATGGGCCGGATGGGAAGTGATTAAAGGCAGGGGAGTTTAGAGGCCAAAAAATAAAACCCACTGTCAGGGTGTTGTTCAAAAGCAGCGGCATTTCAGCATAAAAAATGCTTGACACCTATAAACAAATGTCAACGCGCCTAAGCGCTATGCGTTTAGAGCTTGAGCGTTAATTCATTTAAATGGCCAGAATAATTTATTATTCTGGCCAATTAAATGAATTAAAGCCCAAGTGCTTGATGCGCCTAAATGCGTTTACTCACTTTTTTTCTGCCAAAACGCTGCTGCCAGTAGGAAAGGTTTTCCAGGAGAGTTGATAAATGTTCTGTGTGCATTGAGGCCTTATGTATAGAGGAGAGCACAGCAAATCCCTTAGGCTAGGTTCTCACTATTGCGGCTCTGCGGGCTGCATTTGCTCGGACATGACAGCCCATTCATTTGAATAGGTTGCCATGCCTGCATTTCATGCAGGGAAAAGGTTTCTGCACCATTTTTTAATAGGCAGCAGCCAGGAAATCGTATGGTGCTTCTGCACCATGTGCTTTTTGAGCAGATCTGATAATTCATGGTGGTTTTAGATGTTTAGATGTGCCATTAAGAATGAATGGCAGTCCCCCGTGCGTCTGTAAAGGCTGTGGATGGTTGCAGGTGTGGGTATACCTGTGATTGTCGCACACCCGCAATACCAAAAGCCTAGCCTCAATGAGACTTCTGAGAAGTATCGTAGGACAGGGCCTTTTAAATGTTCTGCTTATTGCAATGAGTAAATGGTAATCTCTCATCTTTGGGCTGTCATGGAGGATAAAGTGAAAGGTACTACATGTACAGCTCCAACCTGTTCACTATATACACTCACCGGTCACTTTATTAGATACACCTTACTAGTGACAAGAAAATCTCCCCCACACCATTACACCACCACCAGTCTGAACCATTGATACTAGGCAGAATGGATCCATGATTTCATGTTGTTTACACCAAATTCTGACCCTACCATCTGAATGTCGCAGCTGAAATCGAGACTCATCAGACCAGGCAACGTTTTTCCAATCTTCTATTGTCCAATTTTGGGGAGCCTGCTCGGATTGTAGCCTCCGTTTCCTGTTATTAGCTGACAGGAGTGGCACCCAGAGTGGTCCTCTGCTGCTGTAGCCCATCTGCTTCAAGGTTCAATGTGTTGTGCATTCAGAGAAAGCATGCTGCATACTTTGGTTGTAACAAGTGGTTATTTTAATTACTGTTGCCTCTCTATCATCTCGAACCAGTCTGCTCATTCTCCTCTGACATCAACAAGGCATTTTCGTCCACACAACTGCCGCTCACTGGATATTTTCTCTTTTTTTGGACCATTCTCTGTAAACCCTAGAGATGGTTGTGCATGAAAATCCCAGTAGATCAGCAGTTATTTAAATACTCAGACCGGCCCGTCTGGCACCAACAACCATGCCACATTCAAAGTCACTTAAATCCCCTTTCTTCCCCATTCTGATGCTCGGTTTGAACTTCAGCAAATTGTCTTTACTATGTCTAGATGCCTAAATGCATTGAGTTGCTGCCATGAGATTGGCTGATTAGCAATTTGTGTGACCAAGCAATTGAACAGGTGTACCTAATAAAGTGGCCAGTGAGTGTATATTCAGAGTAAGATATTTTGTGACAATGTAACAAGAATTCCAGTCAATTCTTAAGTGCCCGGTGCAATTTGACATCGCACCTAATGAATGTGAATGCCAGTGCCTGTGCTCAGATCACTTTTCAAGGGCATTTGACAGGTGGTATGGAGGCGATATGTTGCTTCTCCACTGCATGCTTTACCCCCCTAAATGCAACACTACTGCACTGAAACCACGGCTAGAGGGTTTGCAGCCAGCCCTATTCATTTGTATGTAGTGCCTGCCGAATGCGACAGGGGGTATAAATCCTGATATAGCTACAAAGCATCATGGTGTGTGTACACCCCCAGCTGCTGCCTTTGCAGCCAAAGCAGAAGTGGTTGCTTGGTGGTAAAAACACAGCTCAGCCACATGGTTTTACCACCCCCCCCCCCCCCCCCCCCCCCCACTGCTGCTGTAAATGACCCCCAAAACCACTAACTGCCAAGAGTCATGAAAACACTAAGGAGCTTCAAGGCAATAGCAATCTAAAAGAGCTGCACCTAGTTTCCAAGGCCAGGTTGCGTCTTGCTGAAGAAAGCTGAGGTGCTCTGAGTGGTGTTAGCCAATGAGCTACCCAGATGCATTCCTAGCACTGCTGATCTGTAGAGGTTCAGTGCAAAGACATGGCTTCTCAGTAAGGCCCCATGTACACGGGATGTTTCTGAACAATGGAAACTGACTGCTGGAAAATGTAGGTTAAAAAACGTCTGTTTAGCTGCGTTTGCATAACGCATTTATGTGCGTTTGCGTTTAGAAGCGTTTTTTAAAGATAAGCACAGGAGAACCTCCCAAATGCCCAGAATGCACTGAAAAGTGATAAATTATTAACTATTTCAGACTGTTTCAGGGAAATACACACAGTAGAAGCAGATACAGCAGGTGGGCATGAGTTGCTCATTAACATTTCTTTTGTTTCCAAGGGTGGGAAGGTGTCTGGTGGAGTGAGTCATTAAGGTCACCTGGCAAGGGGTCTCCATGAGGAATTTGATCTTTATCTTTTGTTTCCAAGGCTGGGAGAGGTCTGAGGTGTGAATTGGTCATTACAATGTGTGACAAGCTTGGTGGGAACATCCTGTGTTCAGTGTTTTGTCTATCTGAGCACCTTGAAAACTCTTTGCATGCATTTTTCAGGATAAAAAAAAGGCTCTGGACAGCATTGGGAACTGGAAGAGTTTAAAAAAAAAAAATTTCAAACACAAACGCTTAGAGACGCGATTTGCCACGTTTACAAGCGTTTTGCATTTGAAACGCTGATAAAATCGACGTCTGAACGCAAGTTTGTTGCGTTCAAAAAAACGACTGTAAACGAAGATGTGTACATGGACACATAGGAAAGCAATAGGGTGAGTTCAGGGGCTGCTGAAAAATAAACGCTGAACAGCTTGTAAATGTGAGTTGATCAGCTGCAGTGTACTTAAACCCTGGCAACAGGAGAAGCACATACAAGAACATCTCATTTCTCTTGGAAAATCAATATTTAGACCCATATATCATTTAACAGCAGTAAGACCCATTGGATTCATATTGGATGCAAATTGGCATGCGATTTGAATGCCATGCGACTACGAAATTGCATACAAATTGTAGCCTATTGTCCGCTATTAGAGCGATCATATCGGTACGGTTCCAACTTGGTCGGAGCCGCACTAATTTCTAAAGTAGTACATGCATTACTTTTGGTGCGATTTGCATAGACATCTGTATCAGATGTCTTGCAAACCACACCTGAAATCGGCATGTCCCCTGACTTTGAAATTTCAAAGTAGGGTATGATGTGACCGGGGTGTAAGAATATTTCAGATACAAAACAGTCTTGATGGATTCTTTTTTATTTTTGCACCAAAAAACAAAAAAACAAACCAAACCTCTACGGGGATGCTCCAGAGCCCATGACAGCAAGCAAGTCAAGTAGAACGGCTCTTCCTCCTAATGTGCCACCTACATGCCTGCATTGTGTTCTGTACGGAGGAAGATGCAATACTCTTTGCGCACATCCCCCTTTTATTCTATATTTTAGGGTCTGGTTGGTTTACAAAGGCTGAGATACAACTGTACCCAAACGTATACAAAAAAATAGCCCCGTACAGGCTCATTTGAATAGTCTGATTTTCTATATGAACGCGGTCCAATATAATTACATCAGGGTCCTGTGGTACTATAGCATGGATTATGACAACATATCTCTGCCAAGCTCAACGTCTTCTAAACTCACCAATAAGCAGATACTAAAAGACCGAGATAGCTGGAACACGGTTATAATTGTACATCCTCAGGATGATGATAAACAGAAACAACTCCAATTTAATTAAATCACGATATACACATGGATTCAGAGTATGCTCGACTCGCATCACACACACTGGTTCACACCAGGACAAGGCTGATCAATACCCTGGAAAAAGGTCCTGCAGGCTACAAAGCAGCCAATCATCACCCAAATGACAAGCGTTCAGGTGGAAATGCAGAAATGTGCACGGAACCCTGCAATACATGAAGCCAGGTAGGTGATAAGACATGGACCGCGGGGGGAAGGGGGGAGCAATCATATATTCACACTAATTAAATATATAAGTCACACAGAACCTCAGATTCACTTTATTTGATTTTCTAAATATTTCCATTGTCATGTTGCCGGTGAGCAAAGTGGGAATAATGACTCGACTGCAGATGATCACGTAGCACTATACAGGCTAGCATGACACATAGAAATTGAATTTTTTTCCACAATATAATTGCCAGCTTAGCAATAAACATTACCTTCAACTCCCAAAAGGATGCTAATAGATAATAAAAATGAAATGTAGCATGCAGAGAGAGGAGGGATTGGATGATGCAGATGTTCGCATTGAAAATCCAGGAAACTGGGAACTGTTATATAAAAAAAAAAAAAAAAAAAAAAAAAAAACAGGGACTAGGGAGCCATGGAGAGTGATAACAGAATAAGGAATAAACCGAACATACTCTCATAGGTGTCTTTCATTCAGCCTGCATCAATAAAGAGAAAAAACCCCAAAACTGATTAAACGATCAACCTTATACAGCACGTATAAACAGATTTCCTGCTGTAGCTATTGTATTGTGACTGCCAGTCCCAATAGTTGTCAACATCCCCACTGCGATCTCAGCAGGGTTCACCCCCTCACAGCTGCTGCGATCTCGGCAGGGTTCCCCCTCACAGCCGCTGCGATCTCGGCCGGGTGCACCCCCCGCACAGCCGCTGCGATCTCGGCCGGGTGCACCCCCCGCACAGCCGCTGCAATCTCGGCCGGGTGCACCCCCCGCACAGCCGCTGCAATCTCGGCCGGGTGCACCCCCCGCACAGCCGCTGCAATCTCGGCCGGGTGCACCCCCCGCACAGCCGCTGCAATCTCGGCCGGGTGCACCCCCCGCACAGCCGCTGCAATCTCGGCCGGGTGCACCCCCCGCACAGCCGCTGCAATCTCGGCCGGGTGCACCCCCCGCACAGCCGCTGCAATCTCGGCCGGGTGCACCCCCCGCACAGCCGCTGCAATCTCGGCCGGGTGCACCCCCCGCACAGCCGCTGCAATCTCGGCCGGGTGCACCCCCCGCACAGCCGCTGCAATCTCGGCCGGGTGCACCCCCCGCACAGCCGCTGCAATCTCGGCCGGGTGCACCCCCCGCACAGCCGCTGCAATCTCGGCCGGGTGCACCCCCCCGCACAGCCGCTGCAATCTCGGCCGGGTGCACCCCCCGCACAGCCGCTGCAATCTCGGCCGGGTGCACCCCCCGCACAGCCGCTGTAATCTCGGCCGGGTGCACCCCCCGCACAGCCGCTGCAATCTCGGCCGGGTGGTTGGCTTCTTTGACTACAGTAGGTTGAATGATTGACTTCTTTCCTCAGAAACCAGCTGAAATTCGCAGAATGAATGGCCAGTTTAAAAGAAAAGACGTGAAGAGGATGCCATGCAGTGTGATGAAGAGGAGAACAGAATAAGCCCCGTTGACACCTCTCTTCTGTTCTTGGAAACGCTGCATGTTGTCCTTTGGTGTGACTTGAAGCAACTTTGGCCCTATAGACTTTATTTGGAATAATTTACAAATGCTGGTATATGCATTTCAGACATGTTTCTGACACTTTTCTCTCACCTAGACAGACAGGAGACATTGCTTGTTGTTGGTCAAAAATGCATGAAGCATAACAACACACAAAAAAAAAAAGTATGAAAAATGCAGATACATTTTGAACCTGGGCTAAGAAATAAGAAAAATATATACGGAGTAACCATTTCCAAAAATAAATATAAACTGGTAATAACAAATGTTTAAGATACCTTTAAAAATGTTCCGGACTGGTTAATGTGTATGTACCATGGATGAACAGGGACAAGATACTGTTTGTCCTACACCTCCCGAGAGGAACGCACTACACTACAACTCAGCATATCACAACAAAGGATTTCAATGGAAATAAACAGAGATATACTCCATGGATGTGCTGGAACTACTTGCTGCTGTCTAAACTGGCCCTAGTATGTGTAGGAATGAGAGTTAGGGACCTTACAGATTGTAAGCTCCTTGAGGGCAGGGACTGATGTGAATGTACAATATGAGTAAAGTGCTGTACAAATTGTTGGAGCAACATAAATACAACAATCCAAAAGGGAAAAAAAAAGATTAAACGTGAAATGACTACCAAACCTTTCAAAGGGAGAAAACTCCAATGCTATGGAGTCTGACACCTGGCAGATATATAAAGAATTTTCATATATGTGTGTGAGTACATAGGTATATATGTAGGTAGGTGTGTACATATATATGTGCGTAGGTAGGTAAGTATATTTGAATATGTGTTTATATGTGTGTATGTATGTAGAATATAAACACGTGTATGTATGTATATATGTAGGTGCCTGTGTGTATTTATAGGTGTATGTATATATTTTATTTAAGTGTACCTACATATGTCTTTACACACACATACATACGTGTGTGTGTGTATGTATATATGTAGGTGGCTATGTATGTATATTTATGTGTATGTAGGTATGTATATATGTAGAGGTGTATATAGAAAATAAAACAGAGATCTGACTGTGTATTATAGTTTCCAGCCCTCCGATCAGCCTGTCACCCCTCAAGTCTCCTGATCTCAGTGTACATAGAGATGATGATGGTAGTACTGTAGATAGGTGTACTTTGTATACAATGTATATAGAGATGATGATGATAGTACTGTAGGTAGGTGTACTTTGTATACAATGTATATAGAGATAATGATAGTACTGTAGGTAGGTGTACTTTGTATACAATGTATATAGAGATGATAGTACTGTAGGTAGGTGTACTTTGTATACAATGTATATAGAAATGATGATAGTACTGTAGGTAGGTGTACTTTGATACAATGTATATAGAGATGATAGTACTGTAGGTAGGTGTACTTTGTATACAATGTATATAGAAATGATGATAGTACTGTAGGTAGGTGTACTTTGTATACAATGTATATAGAAATGATGATATAGTACTGTAGGTAGGTGTACTTTGTATACAATGTATAAAGTGGTCTCCAGGCCCCCCATCTCAGTGTATAGAGATGCTGGTGGGGTGTACTTTGTATAGAACGTATAAAAGTGGTCTCCAGGCCCCCCATCTCAGTATATAGAGATGCTGGTGGGGGTGTACTTTGTATACAATGTATAAAGTGGTCTCCAGGCCCCCCATCTCAGTGTATATACAGATGCTGGTGGGGGTGTACTTTGTATACAATGTATAAAGTGGTCTCCAGGCCCCCCATCTCAGTATATATAGAGATGCTGGTGGGGTGTACTTTGTATACAATGTATAAAGTGGTCTCCAGGCCCCCCATATTAGTATATACAGATGCTGGGGGGGTGTACTTTGTATACAATGTATAAAGTGGTCTCCAGGCCCCCCATCTCAGTGTATACAGATGCTGGTGGGGGTGTACTTTTTGTATACAATGTAATAAAGTGGTCTCCAGGCCCCCCATCTCAGTATATACAGATGCTGGTGGGGGTGTACTTTGTATACAATGTATAAAGTGGTCTCCAGGCCCCCCATCTCAGTGTATATAGAGATGCTGGTGGGGTGTACTTTGTATACAATGTATAAAGTGGTCTCCAGGCCCCCCATCTCAGTATATATAGAGATGCTGGTGGGGTGTACTTTGTATACAATGTATAAAGTGGAGAGAAGAAGAAACAATGTAAGAAGACAGAGAGGAGGGTCCGTTGCGGAGTCCAGTGATCAGGACCAGGTCTGTATAGTAGATCCCCTCCCCCCTCCATACAATGCCAGCCCGG